TTTTGTTGATTTGGATTTGCTTTCTTTCTTTTGGTTAACTGGGCTAAGGGTCTGTCTATCTTGTTTAGCTTTTCAAAGAACCAGCTCTTTGATTCATTGATTCTTTGTATTTCTTTGTTTCTATTTCATTAATTTCTGCTCTGATTTTTGTTATTTCTTCTCTTCTGTTGGGTTTGGGTTTCATTTGTTCTTGCCTTTCCAGTGCCTTTTAATGTAGGCACTTAGATCTATAAACTTCCCTCTTAGGACTGCTTTTAATGTGTCCCAGAGGTTGTGTTGTGTTGTATTGTCCTTTTTGTTGAAGTTCAGGAATTCTTTTATTTCTTAATTTCTCCTTTGACCCACTCATTGTTTCGGAGTGTATTGTTCAATTGCCTCGAGTTTGTGAAGTGACTAGAGCTTTGTCCAGTGTTGATTTTGAGATTTATTCATTGTGGTCCGATAGAATGCATGGAAGTATTTCAATTTTTTTGTATTTGTTGAGGTTTGTTTTGTGGCCCAGTATGTGGTAAATTTTTGAAAAGTTCCATGGGGTGCTTAGTAGAAAGTGTATTTTTTGGTGATTGGGTGGAATAATCGAAAGATGTCTATTAGGTCCATTTGGTGTATGGTATCATTTAATTCAGACGTCTCTCTGTTTATTCTTTGTCCAGTTGACCTTTCTAATGGAGACAGTGGGGTATTGAAGTCCCTACTAGTACTGAGTTGGAGTTAATCTGTGTCTTAAAGTTCTGTAGTGTTGTTTTTATTAATTTGGGTGCACCAGAATTTGGTGCATATATGTTAAGGATTGTAATAGCTTCTTGGTTAACTGTTCCTTTGATGAGACTAAAGTGACCCTCCTTATCTCTTCTGATTAGTTTTACTTTGAAGTCTGTTTTGTCAGATGTTAGAATTGCAACCCCTGCTTTAGTGCTGTTTGCTTGGAATATTCTTGTCCATCCTTTTACCTTAAGGTAGTGCCTGTCCTCGAAGGTGAGATGGGTTTCTTGAAGACAGCAAAGAGATGGATTTTGTTTCTTAATCCATTCGCTTAGCCTGTGTCTTTTGACTGGGGAGTTCAGTCCATTGATATTTAAGGTTATTATTGAAAGATGTGTATTTGTTGCCATCATTTTGGTTCCTGTTTGTGTTCTCTAATTTTGTGTTTCCTCAACTATACTTCATTTACTTTTGTTGCCCCTGGGGTATAGTTGTTTCTCTCTCCACTCTCTGTATTGCTTCAAGTATTCTTTGAAGGGCTGGTTTTGTGGACATGTATTCTTTCAGGCTATTAGTGTCATGGAAGATTTTTCGTTCCCCCTCAACTATAATAGACATTTTTGCTGGGTAAAGTATTCTGGGCTGGCATCTATTGTCATGGGGAACCAGAAATACCTTGGTCCAGGCTCTTCTGGCTTTCATAGCTTGCATTGATAAGTCAGCTGTAATTCTGATGGGCTTTCCTTTGTATGTGACTTGTTCTTCTTTTGCTGCTTTCAGTGTTCTCTCTTTGTTCTGTACAGTTAGTGTTTTTACTGTGATATGTCGTGGGGAGTTTCTTTTCTGATCCTATTTGGTGTTCTCTCTGCTTCTGTATTTGTATGAGGTTGTCTTTCCTTAATTTGGGGAAATTCTCTTCTACAATCCTCACAAAATCCCAGGTAAGGGGATGAGTATGGCCCAATTAGGGAAGCTCACCACCACATGGAGGCAGGATCTGGGGCCTCTCAGGCAGTCCCCTGCATTCTCAGGCCCTCTCTCTGAGGGAGGCCTGAAGGAGGCCAGAACTTGGCACTCTCTGGTGGTCTGGCCATATATAGTTCTTTTGAGAATTCCCTATGTAGCTGCTCAGCCCAGTTTTTTTTCCCATGCTTTAATCAACAAGCCTTTGTTAGTCATCTCTTGCATAAGCCACAGTCATGGCCTTGCTTGGAAAAATTTCCATTTAAGTTACTGATAATGTCTATAAACGTACAGAGTCATTTAATATGATATAAATTCCAGGCTGGTATGTGCTAATATAAAATGGCATAGATATTAGTATGCAAGAGATGAGAGGAGCTGTCATCAACTAACTTTAGCCCAATGAGGAGCAGGAAGGCTGGAATCAGGGCTTGATAGGAGGTAGAACAGAGAGGTGGAGAATATGTGAAGCACAAGTGCTCAGAGACAAGGAGGAACAGCTTGGCTTCAGCAGAGAGTGCATGATGGGAGCAGTATGCCTCTCCATGGAGGTCCTACACTACCAAAGGGTTAGGACTGGGAGGCACTGGGAAGCTATGACAGCCCATTGTTTGATTGGGTTTTGGTTTTATTTTTTTTAGATATGTTTTTGTTTCTGTGTATAAATGTATGCCTGCATGTGTGCGTGTACCACATGTGTGCCTGGTGCCCCAGGGCCAGAAGAGGGTATCGATCCCCTGGAACTCGAGTTACAGATGGTTGTTAGCTGCCATGCAGGTGCTGGGAACCAAACCTGAGTCCTCTGTAAGAGCAGCCAGTGCTCTTAGCTGCTGAGCCATCTTTCCAGCCCATGATATGCATTTTTATTTTGTTTTAATACTTATTATTTTATTTTATGTATATGAGAGAGTATTGCCTGCATGTAAGTGCAACTGTGTCATGCAGTGCCCACAGAGGTCAGAAGAGGGCATCACATTCCCCTGGAACTGGAGTTACAGATAGTTGTTAGCTATCATGTGGGTGCTGGAAATTGAAGCTGGGTCCTTTGCAAGAGCAGCCAGTGCTCTTAATTGCTGAGCCATCTCTCAAGCCTGTGATTTGTATTTTTAGACATTTTCTCTTCATATAACTTCTCTGGTGATATATCAATGGTCTGTTTCATGGTCCAAATGTTTGCTTTTGTTCAGGAATGAGTTGCCTTACATTGAGAAATATAAATAGCCTGGTTTGTTTAATGGGATCTTGGAGGACTTTATATGGGTTAATTGTTCTCTAAAACAAGGCTATCAATTTTTTGTGTGTGTAAATGTCAGATAGTAAGTATTTCAGGCTCTGTAGGCCATGTGGGTCCCCTAAATACTCACTTTGTACTCATGAACAAAGGAGTTCCACCTTCTGTGTCAGCAAATCTTTCTTCAAAAATATGTATATTTTATATATTTCAATATATACTTTAAAAATGAGGTAAATTTTAGACTTGTTATATAAGGATGAATTACAGGCTTATAGGCTGCAAATCACAAAAACAAATTTTCCTGACTAACTAGCAAAGGTTTGGAATATACTTCCTCTCAGTTGTGAAGTTCCCTAACAACACACACACACACACACACACACACACACACATATATATATATAAAATAGGACCAAAAATATGGTACAAATAATCTCAGGTATTTTTCCCAGCTTTAAGAGTTTGTTATTTGCTTTGCAAATGTTAGTGATATTTTGTACCAAGTTTTTATGTTTGGGGTGATACAAATGTTAAGAGTATTATTTCAAGGAAGTTATATTTTTCCAAAATATGTCCACATCCTCTTTGCTAACATTATCAATATTTCTAGCAATTGGCTGAAAATTAGTTCCTGAAAATAAAGAGTAGAATTTCTAAAGAAGGTAAATTAATATAGCTATAGCTATAATTACATAATACTTGGCCACCACTGCTGGCCCCCCCTTTTAGTATTAATCACTTTTTTTTTAGCTTTTTACAGCATCATTTAAAATATCTTCCTTTAATATACAAAAAACACACAAGATACAAAGAAAAACCAATAAGATCCAAGTGCCAGAGTTAATAGCCTAATCAAACAAAACAAGCCTTTCCCTCAGCACCCTTGGAAACATGAGAGGAAGGACACAGACTGTCACTGGCCTCTGGGTGAATCCAATGTGGCCCTAGCTCTCCACCAAAGCAAAATGCTGATTTTCCTTGTTGTGGTCCTGGTTCTGTTCCCATGGCACCTCCTCCAGTTTTCCAAAAATCTTCCAGTTCCAAGATGGCCCTCTTCTTTTAGTTCCCTAACATTTTCACTTAGGAGTGAAGGCTGTTTCCCCTTCTCTCCCTTTACCTCTCGTAGTGTCACGGTCCCAGGAAAGTTGTTATCCTGCAGGATGGTGAGAGGGGACTCTCTATAGTACCTTGCTCTTTGCTTTCTGTTTATTGCATTTAGAACCTGAAGATTGGGGCATCTCAGGGTCTCTTGAGGGCTTGTCTGAGTTCTGGCTGGCCACTAGGGTTTCTGTGGACATTTTGCTTCCTCTTTAGTAAACACCTGTTTGGAGGGGAGCTTAATCTGGTTTGAAGGGAGCAACTTGTCCTTGGGGGCCAGCTGAGAACCCAGAGGCAAGTCCAGTTCAGCACATAAAGGGGCTTTCTGGGGCAAAACAAGCTCTGCAGGCAAAATTGATTTGGAGGCTTCATTCTTAAACACTTCAATCATCTTTTCATCAGTGGGTTCAGATCAGGGGGTCTGCACCACTGGTCTTCATGGGTGTCCCAGTGATGCCAAGGGTAGGAGAGTGAGGATCTGAGTCTTGGGCCTGTTTAGGGACCGTCAGCTGTTCTGCTGCAAGGCTTGGCTGTGGAGAGCTCTCCACCTGAATGGGGGTGAACGAGGGCCCACTACTCGAGCCAGATGCTTGTTGTGTGGCTGGCAGAGGCCACGCTGGAGTGACTGGGATGCTCTGAGTAGAGCCCATCTCCACTATGGGTGGGGATGGGGCCCAGTAGGCCCCAGCTCTGCCCTTGGGCACAAACCAGCTCAAGGAACAAGTTCCCTAATCACTTTTCTGAATCTAATGACTCAAGTGGTTTGGAACTAGATTGTTTTATTTATAGATTTATTCGAATAAGAAATTTAATAAAATCAGAACTTCAAACTATTTTCTTTTGACTTACTATAGCTATATTTATCTGAATATATTTTCAGTCTCTTGGTAAACAGGTCCAATGTTCACTGCTAATGTTTTCAAAGCTCCATCCGCAAATACTATATAGGCAAATTATTGATGCATTTGAAACTTAAATATATAATATCGGTATTTTTCTTTAGAGAAACCACCAGCACCATCACAAGTACAGTTGATCAAAGCTACAACTAACTCCTTTCATGTCAAGTGGGATGAAGTGTCTACAGTTGAGGGCTATCTTCTGCAGCTGAATACTGACTTGCCATACCAAGCTGCATCATCTGACTCTTCAGCAGCACCAAGTATGCCAGGTAAAATAATTGTCATGCTTAAAGAACTCATGTCTGCTCGTATACTTTTTTTTATATTTATATTTATATTTTTTAAATTTTGTGTGTATGAGTGTATTGCCTGCATGTATATAGGTGCACCAGTGTCCGTGCAATGCCTGCAGAGGTCAGAAAAGGGAGTCAGATTCCCCTGGAACTGGAATTACAGATGGTGGTTAGCCACCATTTGGGTGCTGGGAATCAAATCTAGGTCTTCTGCAAGAGCATCATAAATTTCTTAAAAAGTATACTGCAGAAAAGGCTATGATTATGCTTGGTTTAAGAAAATGTGAATTTTATGATATGTAGTGCATACCTGGCAAACCATATATACCAATTCTGAAGCTTGGCTGTCTCACCATTATGTCATAGTAGACCTCATAGACAAGTAGTATAGAATTCTTTTCTGTGATTCATTTTGGTGCACTTTTAAGATTTATGTCACTTAGCCAGGAGTGGTGGCGCACGCCTTTAATCCCAGCACTTGGGAGGCAGAGGCAGGCAGATCTCTGTGAGTTCCAGGACAGCCTGGTCTACATAATGAGTTCCAGGACAGCTGGGGCTACAGGGAGACCCTGTCTCAAAAAGACCAAAAAAAAAAATTATGTCACTTGAATTCAGGACATGTTACTAAGGACCTTTAAAAAATATTTCACTTTTTCAAAAGTATTTTTAGCTAAATAGGCCCTTGGAGATTAACAGAATTTGTTACAGAGTCTTCCAGGAAGTATTTCAGTCAACTATTAAACAGTTATTAAGAAAGCAGGTAAGCTTTGATGAATATGATATTTAAAAATCTTTAATATGTAACATTTAAAAATATTTGTAATATATTTTATGGATGTTAGTTAAGAGCATATCAGTCTGAACTTTCTTGTTCCTACAGGAGTCAGGATGGACCCTCACAGACAAGGCAGTAATAGCATTCTTCATAACAGTGTAAGTTGAAGCATCTGTGATGACAATATTTATAGCTTTAGTCCCAACTTTTATTGAGTTTTTTTTTTTTTTGCATATTACTCTGGTCAGTGATCTTCAGTCTTGGCTTTACCTCAGAATCCTCTCTGAGATGCCCAGGCAGCCCTGTTTTCAGTGCTGAGGGTGAGGCTTAATATATTAGAGTACTTGCATAGCAAGCATGAAACCCTGGGTTCTGTCCCTAGTGCCACAAAAATAAAAGAGGAAAAAAAATTCCACAAACTATCATGACAGTAACCTGAACAGAAAACCCTGTCAAAGGGAAGCCTAGTTTCAATACAATAGCATCAGAGGCTATTCCATTTAGAATTGCTACTTACAAGCCCAACATGGTAGTACATGCCTGAAATCCCAGCAGTTTGATGGCTCAGAATTTCAAGGCCAACCTCAGTTATACTGTTGAGTCTAATCCTAACCTCAACTACATGAGACTGTCTCAACAAGAAAAAAAAGATAAAAAGTTGTTTATTTTGTATTTTATTTACCAAGAATATCAGTAGCTAAAATGGACTTCTGTGAGTTTATTCTTTATGAGGTACTTCATGGTAAGTCTTTGTTGAAGCTAATGAATAAACTTACTAAGATTAAAATTCTCATCTAGGACACTATCCATATTGATCGATTCTTTCCATAAAAGGGATCTAGTTATGGTCATATTCTGAGTATGACTAAGGACCAGTAGTATGCAGAAAATGCTGTAATTTTTCAGGAAGGGGATGTTACAGTTTTGCTCATATTGTTTGTGAATAACCTATTTTAGTAGACATATTGCATTTATATTATCTATATATATAATTCATATTGATTATATGTTATGTATACTTAAGTGTGTTCTTATCTTCAATAAGAAAATGAAGAGGCTGGGAGTGGTGGTATGTGCTTGTAATCTCAGTACTAGGGAGGCAGAGATAGGAAGATCCCTAGGGATCACTGGACAGTCTATTTGGCCAGTTCTAGACCAGTGGGGGAACCTGTCTTAAAAAGCAAGGTGGATGGCATTCCTGAGGAACCACAACTGAAGTGTCCTCTGGTCTCCTAATGCAAGTGCATACATGTGCATGTGCCCCTGTACATACATGGTCCCACTCACACACAGAAAGAATAACAGAAGATGAGGATTTGATGATTTCTTAAAATCTTCCCTTTCCCTCCTTGTAGCCTTCCAATATTCTTAGCTGAGTTATGATCTGATGTTGCCATCATGATGGCGTATTCCCAGATGAGCCACATAGAATGCAGTTAGCCTTGCTCCTTTCTCATAGGACTTTGCTTTTCCTGGCATGAGCTACCTCCCTTTTTCATTTACCTATTTTTCTTGTTGCCTATAATTAATTCATATTCAAATTCCAACATTTGAGACAGTTTCTTTTCTTTTTCTTTTTTTCTTGGATTCCTCCCTCCTGGAGCTCTGTCTCTGTGCTGTACACCACAGCCTCTTATACTTTTCAACTCACAATCTTTTTTTTTTTGCCAAAGAAAATTTTATACAATCTGATATGTAGATATATAAAATAGGTATACAAGTGAAATATTTGCTGGTACTAAATCATAAAGAATTTTATGCACATGTGTATACATTATGTGTGGAGGGCAGAGGTTGACATTAGGTGTCTTCCTCAATCATCCTCCACTTTATATTTTGAAATAGTCTCTCCCTAAATCTAGAGCTTGTTGGTTCAGCTCGGCTCACTGACCAGCAGACCCAGGGATCCTCCTGTTGCCACCTTCCTAGCACTGGGATTTACAGGCATGTGCTGCTGCGTGCCCTTCCTAGCACTGGGATTTACAGGCATGTACTGCTGCGTGCCCTTCCTAGCACTGGGATTTACAGGCATGTGCTGCTGCTGCGTGCCCTTCCTAGCACTGGGATTTACAGGCATGTGCTGCTGCTGCGTGCCCTTCCTAGCACTGGGATTTACAGGCATGTGCTGCTGCTGCGTGCCCTTCCTAGCACTGGGATTTACAGGCATGTGCTGCTGCTGCGTGCAGCTTTTCTTCCATGAGTTTTTATCGTGGGTTTTGTGGGATCAAACTCAGGTCCTCCTGCTTGTGCTGCTAGTTCTTAACTGAGCTGTTGCTTCAGCCCAAGAAATTTATTTTAAAATAATTCTTCAGTATATGTATAATTTTACCATTGACAAAAGTAAATTTGCATATTGATGAGATAATTGTGCTTGCTTATTTTTGCATAATTAACTCTTGGCTGGATATTTAATACTGCAGGACGTGGAACATTTTAAATGTTTTTGAAAATGGATGGATAGTTTGATTTTATAACCATTGATGATGGGAATGTACTTCACATAAACATCTAGTACAAAATGGCAGAATTATGTTTAGGGCCATTTCAGACATTGTTGGAAATTCTATCCTAATTCTCTCCTTACAGGCCAAAATTCATTTACTTTGATTTTTTGTTGTTGTTGATTTTTAATGAAATTCAAGTCAGCAACTCAAACAGCAGTTTTTAAAATGAGACATCTAGGGGCCCGCGAGATGGCTCTGTGGGTAAAGCAAGCGTTAGCAGCACTAATCTATGGGTTTCTAAGCCTGATACTCTTATTTCACATGATGGAAGGAGAAAACTGACACCCAAAGGTTGTTTTCTGACCTCTGCTTGCAAGTGTGCACACATACACACAAATAAATAAATACAATAAAAATTTAAAAAATAAAATCAACCATCTAACACAATAGATTCCAAATATACAAATTTGATCCTTGACAATAGGAAAATATTGTAAGTTCTTGTTTTCCCCAATTAAGAGCAGAACTCTGTATGCACAGTAAACACACTGCAATTCCTGACTCATAGCAGTCTGGATTCTGAGCCAGGGTATATCAGGCGGTGTCAGCAGCATTGTGCAGTGCAATGGTTTATGCAGTGCAAAGGCACATGTTTTCAGAACCAGGGCTGCAGTGTGCGGCTCAGTGCAGTGTGACAAGTGCTGCCAGAAGCATCTCAGGCCAGTCCAGATTTGATTTGAATTGATTTCTGTCTGATGTGCATTTAGAACCCTTTCTTTGTTGTAAAATTTTTTTCAACCTCCACTTTCGGTTATGTGACCCCATATGAATTTTCAGCCTATGCTTTGAGAAGCTGGGCGTGGGTGGTGCATGCCTTTAATCCCAGCACTGGGAGGCAGAGACAGGCAGATCTCTATGAGTTCAAGCCCAGCTTGGTCTACATAGGGAGTTCCAGGCCAGCTGGGGCTACAGGGAGACCCTGTCTCAAGAAAACCAAAAAAAAAAGCTGGGCATATGCCTTCATATGTTATGCTATACTTGTAGTGGGTCCCACAGCTCCGGAGTCCCACAACTTTTCATTATTTTTCCCCTCTGTTTACTCTCTCAATTAAAATTTTTCTTTCTTTATTTAATTTCATACATGTACAAAATATATCTTAATTATATCTACCCCCAACCCCCATTCCACTTCTGGACTTCCTCAACATGTCCCCCACCTACCTTCATGTCCTCTTTTTTTAAAAAAAAATAACCTACTTTGACCTGGTCATGGTGGCGCATATCTGTAGTCCTAGCACTCAGGAGGCAGAGGCAGGAGGATCTCTGTGAGTTCAAGGCCAGCCTGGTCTACATAGTGAGTTCCAGGACAGCTGGCACTACAGGGAGACCCTGTCTCAAAAAGACCAAAAAAAAAAAAAACCCACACAAAAAAACAAACCTACTTAGGGCTGGAGAGATGGCACAGCAGTTAAGAGCACTGGGTGCTCTTGCAGAAGACCAAATTCGAATCCCAGCACCCATACAGTGGCTGACAGCTGGCCATCATTCCAGGTCCAGGGGATCTGATGCCTTCTTAGTTCCTTGGCCACTACATAGTACAATCAGAACATTCAGATACATAAAATAAAAATATTAAAAAAAATCTACTAAGTCTGATGAGTGCTATGGGTAACCCACCAGTGGCCACATTCCAGAAGTAAAATGACTCTTCCCCACCATCTATTAGTTGCCAATAGGTCCTACGCTAGGGGTGGCATCTCATGAGCCTTGTGCAGGTTGCCACAGCTGCTATGAGTCCATGAGTACAGCAGCCATGTCATGACCAGAAGACATAATTTACAGCATTCTTCCCCATCCTCTGGCTCTAAGCTTTCTGTCTCCTGTTCTGCAGTTTCCTGAGCCTTGTAGGGGGGTTAATATAAATGTCCCATTTAGGGCTGTGCACTCAGAGTCACTTATTCTCAGTACTTCGATGAGTTATAAGGCTCTACATTGACCACTGCCTACTGCAAAAACAACAAAAACAGTAGTAGGTTCCCCTAGGGCGTATGATCTCCCTAGCCATGGGATTTTGACAAGGCATGAATTTCCTGTGGAGCAGGCCTTAAATCCAATAAGAAAGCAGTTACCACCTGTCCTGGTTTGTTTCTTCATTGCTGTGACAAAACACTCTGACTACTACCAACTTGGGGAGGAAAGGGTTTATTCAGCTTACATCTCCCAGGTTGCAGTTCATCAGGGAGCCCAAGGTGGAACCTGGAGGCAGGAGCTGGAACACAGGCCATGGAGGAATGCTGCTTACTGGCTTGCTCCCCTGGCCCCTGCTCATTTCTTATGCAACACAGGCCCACCTGCCCAGGGGTGGCACCACCCACAGTGAGCTGGGCCCTCCCACATCACTCATCAAGAAGATGCCCCTCAGACATGGCCACAGGCCAGTCCAATGGAGGCAGTTCCCCAATTGAGGCTCCCTCAACCCAGGTGTGTCAAGTTGACACTAAAGCTATCCAGCACACCACCATAACAGTCTTGCCACTCTGCTTAGCAGGTCAGTTTTGTAGCATGCAGGGTCCACCATGGGGTAAGATCATTGACCACTTTTTTTTTTTAACTCCAGTGACCTGCATAGCACCTTCTGCCTTGAATGTTGACTCACAAAGATTCTTCAGCCTTTTAATCTAGGGGTTATAAGTCAGGGTGTCAGTATTCTAGGTGCCTATATAAGGGAATGTGGCAGTGAGTCTGATACAGACTCTCACTTAATGCCTGTCCTTAGTATGGGCATCTCTCCATCATCCTCATTTGAAGGACACTACCATCATAGAGCCTCACACTGAGCCTTCCTGCCTATTTTTCCCTCTTCAGTTGGAAGTAGAGGGAGGAGGAATTTGTGTTGCTTTGTATGCTGGGACAACAGAGCTAAGGCTCCAGCACTTATAGATGTTATAAAGTGGATCATACTATCTAAGTTATAGCATTCTTGCCAAGACTGAGATAGAGAATATATAAATGTAGTACAGTGCCTGGCTATCCGTTGTGGCTGTCATCATCCTCAGTTATTAACAGCATCATCACTGCCAACTGAGAGCAAGTCTGGGGCATGTTATGGGCAATTATTTTAGAGCCATGAGAAATCACAAGAATTAACAATAAAAATGGAGGCATAAAAATGACAACAAAAAAAGTAAAATAGTAGCAACATTGGAGTATTTGAATGAAGGCAGGTCATTTTATGGTTCCATAGGTATATGTTCCCATTGGTAACTTCAACTGTCAAAAAGTATCATTGATAACATCCCTCTCTCCCCTTCTCTGCTCCTCTTCTTTCTCTCTCTCACTCCTCCTTCCTCTCCCTTCCTCCTCTCCCTTCTCTGCCTCAACCTCCCAGTACCTGGGATTACGTGTCTATACCACCAGACTCACCATTAGGAAAATTATTAAAATGTTTAATAGTAAAGAATATATATAATATTAAATCTGTGTTTAAAACTCAGTCATCCAGAACAATTCTTTTGCTTGAAGGTTTCATGTCACTGAAGTTTTCCTTTTATGAATCATCAGATCTTTTGTCTACATGTTTGATTTGTTAAAATTTCTTTTGAATAGGGGTTAGCAAGATGGTTCCGTGGGTAAAATGCTTGCTGAGATGACCTGAGTTTGATCCCTGGAACCCACATGAAAGTAGAAGGAGAAAACAGACTCCACTGAGGTGTCCACATGCACACCATAGCATGTACCCACCCACATATACATCATACATGCAATTTTAAAAAGATAATTTTTAGTAAACTGTTAAACTCAGCAGCTTTTATGGTCTTTCTGCATTTTTTTCTTAAGATCTACTTTTTATTTTGTGTGTATGAATGTTTTGCCTCACATATATGTATGTAAACTACATGCATGCCTTGAAGACCAGAAGAAGGCATTGGATCCTCTGGAGCTGGAGTTATAGACATTTGTGAGCCGCTATGTGGTACTGAGAACTGAATCCTGTCCTCTGTAAGAGCTGCTGGTGCTCTTCACCACTGAGTCATCTTTCCAGCTCTTCCTCCTGTGTTATATAAGTATTTACTTGTGATGCTAGCCACCATATGAAAAAACAGCAAAACTAAAAATACAGTCTTTTGAGCATGGAGATTAAGTGAAAAACATTTTCTTAGAAACTATTATAAAATTTAAAGAATACTATAGAAATTAAGAATATATTTTTAACATTTTATATTTTGATAAGCTTATTTTAGTTGTTTTTTTTTTTTGAGAATAGAATCTCACTATGTAGCTTAGGCTAGCCTAGAACTCTGCATCCTCCTGCCTCTATCAGCTCAAATGCTGGAATTATAGGTATGTACCACCTGTTGGTTAAGTTATATTCAGGAACATTTACTTGTAAGTAATTTTGCTTGTTTTTTAACATATTCGTCTGTTTCATTGAACATTACTTGCTATAATGAACTGTTTTATTTCTTGTAGGTCAGTGATGCAATAAACAGTGCAAAAACTGAGCACACAGCCATGAAGGCAGCTTCAGTGAAAAACAAACCAGATTTCAAGTCAACAGATTCTAATGCTGTTTTACACTCACCTTTGGTGTCTAATGCTTCTAATCATAACAGTTGTATTCCTGATATGCTAAGGAAGAATGAAGGTATAAGTGTTATATTTTAAATAAAATTAAACCTTTATAACATTGGTATGGAATTTTAGTCACTGAAAAAAGTAAATGTTAAATGTTGATTTTCCTCACAGTGAACCTACGTAGAGCAGTGTAGGCACTTAGTGACAAGTTATGAGTATGAAATTCCAGTAAGGGAGGTTCTTAGATTTGCCAGTGTGATCAGTGTGACTATCCCTTCACTTATTTTCTCATCACTTGTCAACTTTGTGGGATTATTTGTGTATTTATCTTATTTATTTATCTTATTCACTATTTCCAAAGCACTGAGCTGTGCTTGTCATTCAGTAAATATTTAGTTAGTAACAGTTAAGATAATTAAGTTGTTTAAAATATTGATTAGTTAGGTGTATTCATAAGATAGCTTATAATTTGGTGATATTTATCTTTGAATATTTTATTTATTTATGTACTCCTTTATTTTTGAGACAGGATCATACCCTGTAACCCAAGTTGGCCTAGAACTCACTATGTATCCCAGGCTGGCCTAAACTTTTGGTAGTCTTCCTGCTTCAGCCTGTCAGGTGCTGGGACTGTAGGCCTAAGCCACCATGCCTGGGTATATTTGAGTATTCCAATGCCGTTGAGATAAATTAATTATTGCATCTTATTTCAATGTCTAAAATTGTTTTATAAATTTCATTTTGATATGTCCCTGGTATAGGAACATGTGACTATTTTTAATATAAAAATTGTGGTAGCTGTTATAAATCTAATTCTTCAGGGCTTCAAATTTAGTAGGATATTTTTATTTCTATTTTTCTTTATGAGTCCATGGTAGGTAGAAATACTCAAGGAAGACAACTTCCTATCTTTTTCTCCTTTCACAACTTATGGACAAGGAACACTTTCTTGTTTTGTTTGTTTGTTGTTTTTGAGAAGGGATTACTCTGTAGCCCATGCTGTCCTAGAACTCACTATGTATCCAGGCTGGCTGGCTTCAAACTCTTGGCAGTCCTCCTGCCTCAGCCTTATAAGAACATAGACATGTGCTGCTGCTATACATGGCATAAAAATATATACATTACATAAAAATATATATACAGGGTCTGGAGAGATGGCTCAGGGGTTAAGAGCACTGACTGATCTTGCAAAAGACCCAGGTTTGAATCCCAGCACCCACATGGCAGCTAACAACTGTCGGTAACTCCAGTTCCAGGGGATCCAACAGCCTCTTCTGTCCTCTGTGGGCATTTCATGACATGGGTGCACTTACCTACATGCAGGCATAACACTCATACACATAAAATAAAAATAAATATTAAAAATGTATATAGGCAATGAAGTTTAAGGGTGGAAAAGTAGGGATAAGACATCAAAGACTAAAGCCAGGTGTGGTGACAGATGTCCTCAATCCCAGCACTTGGGAGGCAGAGCCTGGCAGATCTCTGTGAGCTTGAGGTTAGCCCAGTCCACCCAGCAAGCTCCAGGCCAGCTGGGGTCACAGGGAGACTCTGTCCCAAAAGACCAAAAAAAGGAAAGAAAAAAAAAATCAAAGGATTTGCCAACATGGGGTCAACATTGGTGGAATAATGAAGGTTTCCATTAGCTCTGATCTTGCAACAGAGCATAGAGTGGGGGTTTATTTATAGAAGAGTGGGCGCCCCCACCCCATATACCACTGCACTGGAAAGTCCACAATCAAATATAGATCCTATGACTTCCTAACAGCCACACAAAATGGTGAGAGAGGTGCCTCCTGGCATTCTGGGCTTATAGATCCTTAGCCCCTCCCCCACATGTAGCTAAGGTTGACTGGGTGGAAGGGGTAACTGACTTCCCCCTCATCTCCTTGAAAGAAAGTTACATTGATTAAACTTGGCAACTGTTTGGAAATGAGAGAGAAAAGTAAGCTATGTCTCAGTTTTTTGAGTTGAATATTGGAATGGACATGGACACGCTTCATCAAAATTGAGATAATAGGAGTGAGAACAGACTTGGAACAATATTCAGCTTTGAGTTTAACTGTAGAAGGCACTTGAGGAATATACCGGGCAGCTTAATATGTAGGTCTGTAGTCTAGGAAGCAATCATCTGCTGTAAATACAAATTTAAACATTTTATTATGTATTCTATTTTATTTTGTGTATGCATGTATTGCCTACATGTATGTAAGTGCACCTATTTCATGCAGTGCCCATGGCAGTCAGAAGAGGGTGTCAGAGCCCCTGGAACTGGAGTTGTAGACTGTTGTTAGCTGCTAGGTGCTGAGAACCAAATCTGGGTCCTCTGTAAGAGCAGTCAGTGCTCTTAACATCTGAACCATCTCTCCAGCCCCTGTAAATAGAAATTTAGAAATTATTGAAAGTATAAGTTTCATAAGAGCAGAGGCCTTGTTGATTTGTTCACCACTGGATTCCCAACAACCAGTATGGAGCTCAGGCCATACATATCTGACTAATGAATGGTTTGTGAATGATATTTAAAACACAGGGAAAATACCAAAGGGAGAGAAAAAGAAAAGGTTAGCTTAGAAACACCAGAATATAAAACATCATTTGAGGCCAGGTGTGGTGATGTATGCCTTTAATTCCAGCACACAGGGAGGCAGAGGCAGGCGGATCTCTGTGAGATAGAGGCCAGCCTGGTCTAAGTAGTGAGTTCCAGGCCAGCTGGGGCTAGAGGGAGACTCTGTCTCAAACAAAACAAAAACAGCATTTGAAGAAGAGAACCTAACTGAAGAGATTGAGAAGGGAACCTTAGGTTAGGAAAAAAGAAAATGTTGAGTCAGTTTTTTGGTTTTTTGTCTTTGTCTTTTCCTTTATAGTGGGCATCAGAGTTTGTAAATATTTGCATGTGTCTATTAATCAGATGAAAAGTTCATGGGACATGAACCCTGCCTGCTTTCCTTCACTGTCATAGAAATAAGTATAATATCTGATTGTATATCTTCAGTATTGTGAAGTGAATGAATAGAAGTCTTAAAAGAAATGGCTTTAAAAGGAATGTGTGGTCAGCACTATTTATATTACAAGGTCAAATAAATGAAATTGAAGTGTTCTAGAACTCACTGACATTTGCTATATCTGGTTCATTAGTATGTGTTAGAAATCAATTTTAGAGGAGGTCCAGGAAATAGAAATCACTCTGAAGGAGCTGGGCATGGTGGAGTACGCCCTTAATCCCAGCACTTGGGAGGTAGAGGCAGGTGAATCTTTGTGAGTTCGAGGCCAGCCTGGTGTAGATAGTGAGTTCCAGGCCAGCTGGGCTACTGGGAGACCCTGTCCCCTGTCTCAAAAAAAAAACAAAAGAAAAAAAGGAAAAAAAAAAAAAGAAATTACTCTGAAGGAAATTAGGAGAAATGGTAACTGGAGTGATATGTAAGTCAAGGAAGATACATGCTTGTTTGCTTGGGAGACTTGATGATGTCTATAACCTGGAAAACAAAAACTAAAGGAAATGCTGAAAGCGGTAAAGAGACAGGAATGACTGATGAATGAAGGCCCCAAAACATGGGGCAGGGGCATGAACACAAGAAGACTTCTTGAAAGAGAGGTCCTCTCTTCATCTATGACAGGAGAGAAGATGGGCATGATCATAAATACATTTCTAGTTTGGGGCAGGGGAAAGCAGAGCCTATAGGAAATTCATGCCTAATAACCCCTATTCCCCCACACACACCCTAAAAATGAGTGGCAGAGCTATCTGATCTATAATTTAGTAGCAGTCAGTGTCAGTATTTACTATGGTAGAGGGAGCTGAGAAGTTAGGCATCTATAATGGATGCAATGCACTTTCTTCCAAACATTTTGTGCCCAGTGGTTGATCCATATGAGTGCTGTTTGCTGTGCTCATGTTTATGAATTTTAAAAATAAAAGCATCAAGAAATACATGACATAACAATAAGTCAGTACTTACTACTTCCAAGTATTATACTAATAATTAATCTTTTTCCCTTTAAACTCAGGTCCTCATACTTCAGCAAATGTAGGTGTACTAAGTAGTTGCCTGGACTTACGAACAATAATCCCTGAAACTTCGGTATCCAGTACTGTTTCCAGCCCACAAACTATGGTAACCCAGCAGACCATTAAAACTGAATCATCCAGTACAAATGGGGCAGTTGTTAAAGATGAAACTTCACTAACAACATTCAGTACCAAATCTGAAGGTTTGAAATGTGTTTCACATATTGTATTTTGAGCCATTTATGCATATAAATCATCAACATTATCTATGTTAGATGGGAATTGCATTTAATCTCAGTAAATTATAAAGCATCTCAGTTAATTATAAAAAATTTTTTTTCCTTGACTTTTTGTTTTTTCTGAGATAAGATCTTACTATGTAGCCCAGACTGATCTAACTTGAGATCCCTTGCCTCAGCCTCCTGAGTACTGATATTAGAGGGGTAAATCTCCACGCCCAGCTGTAACTCCCATTAACCTCAAGATTTAGACAGTTTTTGGTTTTGTTTTCCTGTGGTACTAGAATTGAACCCAGGGTCATCCTTATGCTATGCTGAACTACACCCCACCCCAGTATATTTGCTCGCTTTCATAAAATATTTAGATTAGCACACACCAAGATGCAGTGTTATCTCCCCTACCATAAATAAATTCAGCAAACATTTTTCCTTAGAAAAATTAGTTCTGGACTATGAATTAACAATTCTCTAAGCTTGATTGACTTTTAATTTTGTAAATTCTTATCCTTTTGCAATAGGAACCATGTTTCATCTTTGGTAAACATTCTTTTTTGTTCTAGGTAGTTAGAAAAAACTTTACGAAAAGGAACTTTATGATTCTCCCTTTAGCTATTTTTCCAAGGTTTTTTTGTATTTTTGGGTGTATGTATATGTTCATGTGTGTGCGTGCACACATGCATGTGGAGGCCAGAGGTCAACCTCACTGTCTTCCTCAGTCACTCTCCACCTTGAGTTTTCAGATAGGGTCTCTCGCTTTACCTAGAGCTTGCAGATTTAGCTAAGCTGGCTGACCTGCAAGTCCCAGAGATCCACCTGTCTCCACCTCCCAAACAGTGCGATAACAAGACTATGCCTGGCTTTTGTTGTTTTGTTTTTGAGATAGGGTCTGCTTGTATCCCCAGCTGGACTCGATCTCACAGAGATGGACCTGCCTTTGCCTTGGAAGTGCTGGGATTAAAGGTGTGCACCACCACACCCAGCCATGTCGGGCTTTTTTAAAAGGTTTTGGGGATCAAACTGACTGAGCCATCTCCTTAAACCCTCTGCCCAAAATTTTTTAAAATCATGGTAAAATACAAATTATATGAACTTTGCTGTGTTTTAAGTGTTCAGTAGTATTCAATACATGTATATTTATAAACTGTATTTTAATATGGCTGAGTGATTAGTTAATACTTCACTGATTGTTTAATTTTCAGTTGATGAAATATGTGCTCTGCCTGCGACTAAGATCAGCCGTGTAGAGATACATGCTGCAGCAGTGCCATTTTCTGTAAGTATGTGACCTGGCGCTGATGCATGTTACAGATGAATATATTTAATGCTGAGAAGCCTCTAGATAAATTTGTGAAAAGGTTCTCAGGCCTCATGTAGTAAGAAATTGATATATATTAAATTTTAGAAATAATTAGCTAAGTAGGAAAATGATCATAATACAGTGTGAAAAAAAGCTTGATATAATAATACTATATATCCTGTGGTCCCAATTTTGATTTAAAAATACACTTATTACACATATTCACAGACACAGGTACTCACTCATAATGTACCCTTAACTGCTAGATAACTATTTTCAGGCTGTGGGGCCACAGATGACTTTGACTTTCTTCTTCATTCTTTCTATATATGTATTTAAATGTACATACATATGTGTATATTTATAGTTATGTAAATTACATTAATGGTTAAAAGATAGGATGTGTTATGGACCAGAAATACTTGACAGAATATTGTAGTAATGGATTGACATACATGTAGAATAACCCCAAAATCTGATGAGTTGTTTTATGGAAAGCCATAATGGCTCTCTGTGTTGCCAAACTTAAAATGCTGGGAAAGAATCTCATAAATAACACCATGATTGCCTTCATTAGATATATATGAGGATAGTACACACATATATACATATTTATATATTCGAGGGAGTTTTAAAATTCACTTGTTTCACCTTTATTGTTATGAGAATTTTTATTTGATCTACTGTTTACCTTTTTTAGAACCTTTAAGAATTGTCCATAGTTTTTCTTCCACTTTTTGGAGTTTTGATAGGTATTTTCCTTCATTGGTGTTCACTAGTCCTCACGATTTTAGACTCTTCTCAGGGAAGGATTATAAAACTGAATTTTTTTTCTTTTGCATCTGTTTTGTGATACATCAGCCACAATTATATTTATTATTTCAGTTGTTATATACAAGTTGTTGAAGAGCCGGGCGTGGTGGCGCACGCCTTTAATCCCAGCACTTGGGAGGCAGAGGCAGGTGGATCTTTGTGAGTTCGAGGCCAGCCTGGTCTACATGGTGAGTTCCAGGACAGCTGGGGCTACAAGGAGACCCTGTCTCAAAAAGATAAAAAAAAAAAATTGTTGAAGAGAGTTTTTACAACTTTAGAAGATGAAGACAAGTTGAAAACTGTTCCTTTTTTAAATCTTAAAAGAGTCTTCTAGTTCACTTTGCTGTGTGTGCTAGCCCAAATAACAGAAATGTGAATGGTGAGCATGTATGTACTCTGCTGTTATATATTTAAGACAGAAATAAATAACTGAAGTGCACATTTGTTTTGAGCTTCTGGAAACAGTGTCTCATTTATACGAAGATGGCTTTAAAAGGTTAGTTCCAGGGATAAGTATAATTCACTTATCACTAAAAGTAGCTTAAGGTAGAGAAAGTCTGTTTTTAAAGCAGGATAATAAATGTACAACTGTTTAATCTACTCTTTTAGTGTATACTAGAGTATATTCAAATTGCATTTTAGTGTTGAACATTTTTTTCTCCTTTTAGGTTTGGAGAACCACAGGTATTTCAAGTACAAAGATCACTGAATTTCTGCTAGTTGGTTTTGGATCTAGAAAAAAAAAAGCCAGCTTTGAATGAACTTTTATTTGCTCCTTTTGGAGCAAATTGTAATGTTTCACTAAAGGGATTACATTTTCTGACAGAGTCTCTGAAATGACAATGTTCTATAAAACAGCTGGCATTTTAACATGTCACTGATTGGAAAGCATGCTAACTCCAGCCAGGTTGATAGCACAGTGCTACTGACTTGGAGAATGCCTGTCACCCCTGTGTTTGAATTGGAATCCCCTTTTCACTTGTCAGTTGACCTAATCTGTTAAGACCCCATTTACCTGTGAGCTTGTAATGTGTGGTGTTTATTCATGTACATACTTGTAGATCACTGCATGGAATTATATAGTCTTGAAATTTCTCATATGCTCAATAAAATCTTCATAAATTTTTCTTTCCCTAAAATTAGAAAGAGACGCCTTCAAGTCCACTGGCCACCATGAAAGCAGAACAACAATGGTGTGATGTGGGAATTTTTAAAAATAATACAGCTTTGGTGAACCAGTTTTATTTGCTACCAAAAGGGAAACAAAATATCTCCAAGGTAACTTACTGTTGACATATTTTCTACACTGTTAGAAACCTTGAGGACTTTGTGATATAATGCATGTCTAGCATATATGTGAACTTGGGTTCAGTCCCTAGCACTTCAAAAAACAAAGCCTGGCATTGTGGTGCACGCCGTTTATTCCAGCACTCAGGAAGCAAAGGCAGGAAGTTCTCTGGGAGATCCAGGCCAGCCTGGTCTATATATGGAGTTGCGAGCCAGCTGGGGCTACAGGGAGACCCTGTCTCAAAAAGGCCACAAACAAACACACAGAAAGTGAGTTATGAACCTTGAGAGTGAACTTAAGTGATTCAGGTTATTTCAATGAATAAAACCGGGGATGCTATTGAGGGTTCTGTATACATATTTATCCAGTATTTTCTGTTAGAGTTCTTTTTATATACTGTGCCACAAACATTTCATTTAAAAAATATAATAACCAAGGTGGGTTTTTTTTTCCCCCTTTCTTTTCTTTTTTGAGATAGAATCTCATATAGAAAGGTTGACCTCAAACTTCCTATGTAGCTTAGGCTGGCCTTGAACTCCTGAGTCTCCTACCTCCACCTTCCAGTTACTAGCATCACAGATATTCCTTCAGTCCTGTGTATTTAGAGAAGGGGCCTCTTTTTTCCTTACTGAGTAAGTATATGAGACATAAACCTGCTAAGCATGAAACAGACAATAGTTTTTTTTTTTTTTTTTGGTGTTTTTGAGACAGGATCTCCCTGTAGCTGCAGCTGGCCTGGAACTGGGCTATGTAGACCAGGCTGGCCTCAAATTCACAGAGATCCACCTGCCTCTGTCTCCCAAGTACTGAGATTAAAGGTGTACGTCACCATGCCTGGCAGATAATAGTTCGTAAAACATGCTGGACTCATTTTTTTCCCTAGAGAATTGCTGAGGAAGTAGACACTCATGTTGCTTTTTCAGACTGTCTTCCCCAATGAAATACAAGCCCAGCATTTCTCGCCTAACAATCTGAAATCTAAAATGTTCAAAAATTCAAAATATAGCCGGGCGTGGTGGCGCACGCCTTTAATTCCAGCACTCAGGAGGCAGAAGCAGGTAGATCTCTATAAGTTCAAGGCAGGCCTGGTCTACATAGTGAGTTCCAAGATAGCTGGGGCTACAGGGAGACCCTGCTTCAAAAAGACAAAAAACAAAAAAAGAAAAATTCAAAATATATTTTGGTCACCGTTATGCCACAAAGTAGAAAATTGTACACCTGACCTTATGTGATGAGTCAGGGTCAGAATATTATATTCAGTTGCTGAAAATATTGTATTCAGTTGCTTTTATTGTATATGTGAAAATATGTAAAATCCACATTAACTTCATGTTTTAGATTTATGTCTCATCTCCAAGATATTTCATCATGTATATACAAATATCCTAACAACCCCTCCAAGTCCAAGATACTTTTGGAATTCAAAAGTATCCAAAGTACTTTTGGACACAAGCATTTCAGATAAGGGGTACCTAATCTATATATCACTTGTTAAATTTTAAGTTCTCTAATAGCATTTCTGAATCCCTTTTTCACACTGAGTATTTTCTATTCTTGACTGAAACAAAAATCCCAGTGAATACTTAATTACTAGTATGTCTAGTGGAATTCCTGACTGCAGTTGAGTATTGGTTTTTTTTTTTTCCGTCTTTTTGAGACAGGGTCTCCCTGTAGCCCCAGCTGTCCTGGAATGCACGATGTAGACCAGGCTGGCCTCGAACTCACAAAGATCCACCTCCCTCTGCCTCCCAAGTGCTGGGATCAAAGGCGTGTGCCACCATGCCCAGCGAGTGTTGTTATTGTATAAAGAACCATCCGTGTGTAAATGCTTGTTAGCTACCTGATTTTTCTTAAAGAGCAAAAGAGCACAAAATCTGCTCATGAACTTGTGTTTAAATTACTAGTTCCAGCACTCTGCAGTGTGAACTGGGACAAGTCACTTGTAACCTCTCTGAGGCTTAATGGCCTCACTGTAAAATAGAGATGACTAGGCCCTGTAAAAGTATGCTGGTCGATTGGGACGCCTGGTCTCACAGCAGTGTTGTGAGGGTTAGGAAGAATAGCTAAAAATTGTTTGAAAGGTGTAGATGTTATACTAGTCCTAGAGAACATAATTACTTAACATTTATTCGATGTCATGAATATAATTTTTAAATGCTCTATACTATATATTAGTCACTCTTTTCTAAGCTTGCCAAACACCATTATTTGACAGTAAATCTGAGATTTCTGCTCCCAACTAAGTTCACATGGGGACTGAGTAGTTGGTGTCACTTTGTTTATAGGGACACCTCTATTTTTCCTACTTCCATTGCCACTTGTGCAGAATACCCTTATGTTCTCCTTGTAGTCAGTGAATCTCTGCTGGAAAAAGGTACTTTTCCTGGGGACAAGAATTCCTGGGTTTAGTTGGTTCTGTATTAGAGGTTTATTCTTTATGTGAGAAAGGGAAATACATGATGTGAACTGGAATCCTAAAGTATATAATTCTTTAAAAGTTTTGATGCTTAATGAAAATTGAATAATTATAAATTTAAATAATAAATGTACTCTTTTCTGACTTTTGTATATATTGTATTTTAGGTAGGAAATGCAGATGTACCTGACTACAGTTTGCTTAAGAAACAGGATCTTGTTCCAGGCACAGTATATAAATTCAGGGTTGCTGCGATCAATGGTTGTGGTATAGGACCATTCAGCAAAATCAGTGAATTTAAAACTTGTATTCCTGGTTTTCCTGGAGCCCCTTCTACAGTCAGAATTTCAAAGGTAATCAATCCATCAAGTCTAGCAAGACTTGTCAGTGATTTAAATGATGTCAATTTGGTATAGGAGGTAAACCTTGTTTAGAAATTCTTGTTAGCATTTGATGAAATGAAAGATATCTACAAGAGGTGCATTGAATGTTTAAAAATATTTTGCAAGCCAGGCAGCACTAGAGGCAGAGGCAGTCAAATCCTTGTGAGTTCAAAGCCAACCTGGTCAACATGGTGTTTTGCTAACTATGCATGGTATTTTTCAGTACCATATTGTAAGCAGAATTATAGTATGTAAACCACAAAAAGGCAGAAAAATGTTTGCTGTGTTCTTGTTGTTACGTAACATAGGAAATTGGATTGTATTTTATACCAAGTCCTGCCCTTCTTAGAAACATTTAAGCCTCATTGTGTTTGTGAAGTATGTGTAAATTGTAGATCCATTGTGAAGTATGTGTAAATTGTAGATCCAATTAAAGTAAGGTTGTAAAAATCAGCAATAAGAATCTAAACAAGTGCCGGTTGCGGTGGAGCAAGCCTTTAGTCCCAGTGCTTAAGAGGCAGAGGCAGGTGGATCTCTGTGAGTTCAAGGCCAGCCTGGTCTACATAGCAACTTCCAGGCCAGCTCAGGCCACAGGGAGACCTTGTCTCAAAAAGACCAGAAAAGCATTTTGTGTCCTGAAGGCACACTTAGAAAAATAAATAATGATAGAGAAAATTTGAGAGCCTTCACCTGTGTTTTCCCATTTTCTAGAATGTTGAAGGTATCCACCTTTCCTGGGAGCCTCCAACTTCACCTTCGGGAAATATTTTGGAATATTCAGCCTACTTGGCTATCCGCACAGCACAGATACAAGATAATCCAAGTCAGCTTGTATTTATGAGGATTTATTGTGGTCTTAAAACCTCCTGTACAGTGACTGCTGGACAGCTTGCAAATGCTCATATTGATTACACATCCAGACCTGCCATTGTGTTCAGGATATCGGCAAAGAATGAAAAGGGTTATGGACCAGCCACGCAAGTTCGGTGGCTTCAAGGTAGTAATAAGAAAGCACCTTTAAATTGAGTTGTTTTTTTCCTAAAGCTATTGTGATGATGATTATTTATTAGTAGCCGGTTATTGTCATTTAAGAGTGTTCTCTGACTGTATTTCTAGCAGTTATGAATTTGAGTTTGTAACTTGTTCTTCAAATGTACTTGCTCACTTCTAGATCTAAATAAAGATAGAAAAGAAGCAAAGACTGAAAATTAGTATATGGATTCTTCCTTACCCATATAGTTGCTTTATAAAGAAAAATGGTAAAATTAGGATAAAAAGCTTTTTTACCCTGACGTCTTTTATGAAGGCTGTGTAGCTCGGTCATCTAGAGTTACTGAGATGATTCTGGTAACTGGCTGCTGTACACTTTGCTGTTGTGAATGTTCTTTGTTGTAAACACTTGTCCTTAAGCACTTCTTCTAACTTTATTCTATGAGCAGTGGTCTTCTAACAGCTATTTTCTGATGCATAGTATTTGTGATACTAATTCTAGTAGCCTCTTTATTCCTTTATTTATAGTTAGCACAAGCTTAAGACAATAAAAGAAAGACAAAGACAATTTCAGAAACTCTGCTTTAGGATTTTATTACTTTCTAGCAATCATAGCAAGATACAAAAATGATAATGAGTATTCTTGATTTGTATCAGACCAATATATTTGAATATGTCTTTGGCTAAATCAATTTATATGGCCTTTAATCTCACTAATAGGTGAGGGAGTTAAAAGAGTTTAACATTTAAGTTCCCTTTCAGCTATAAACTTCTGTATTTTCATTAGAAGTCCAGTGTAACCCTGCACATTTTCATGTGTTGCCAGTCTCAGTGGCTCCAACTTTGCTTTTGTTGAAAATTAAATCTTCATCATTTAAGACTGAAAGCAAAGTACCTGTCCTCTTGAAGAAAGAGAAAAGCACCTTAACAGGACACACATTTCTAAATAGTGTTTGAAACATTTGTAAGATTTTTGTAAATGGTCTAGATGTTTTATTTTTGCATTGTTTTTACCTTGAAATTGTATAAACTTTTTTACATCATAATTAAAAGCATTAGACAGCTAACTCAGGTTCCTTACAACCTTAAAGATGCAGATAACTTCATGATACTCAGCTCCAGGTAACTTGTTTTACAACCTTTGAAATCTCCTAGTGTGACTGCCTAGTCAACTCTGAAGAGACTTTAAAGAGCAATAACTGCAGAAAAGACTGCATACCAAGAGCTGTGATAACTGCAGGAACACAGGTCTATCTTTATAACACACAACCTCATGCCAGTTTAGGTTGACTGAGTAGCAGTGTCCTCCAGCTTTATGTATTATATCCCTAGCAAAGATGAATAATTGTGCAGAATTGATATATATATAGATATATGCCAGTTACTAATTTAAAGTATATAGAATATTTTAATATATAATTTTGTAAAGATCTGGGATTTTTATATGACAGTATTTGTAATTAATATGTCTCACTAACTAAATGTCTCTTGAAAATATGCAAACCTTAGACACATGAGTGGTTTCTGAACTCTAATGATAAAATAAATGCACTACTCTGGTGTTGGAATATCTTTTTGTGACTCCATGAACCCTTAATCATTAAGTGGGTACTTTCCAGGCAGTGTTTACTGGGAGCGGCTATGGCTTGTTACTCTAGCAGCTCCCTTAGTGAGAGCTTCACTTTACCTTTGTTTCATTCAGATGCTTTGCTTTTGGTAGCTGCTTGCTTTTTGCACTAGTGAACTTTGAATTTACCTCATTATTATGTTTATAATCATTGGCATAGCTTCCATGTTGTATCTGATAGAAGCTAAACAGGTACTTAACCAAAGTTAAATGATATGCAATTTTGCACATATTAAATGATAAGGCTTGTCGTGTGTGTGTGTGTGTGTGTGTGTGTGTGTCTGTCTGTCTGTCTGTCTGTGGAAAGTTACAGTGTATGTGTCAAGCCTGATTTACTTTATTAGAAAGCTTCTGACTTATGGTCCCTTATTCTTTGCATTAACAGTTTGCATCTTGAAACATTTATGTTAATGACAAGGAATAAGTTGATGTGAAGCAGAGTAGACTGTTTTGAGTGTACACATTTTTACCTGTTTAGTATTTGATTTAGTTTACTTTGCTTAAATGCATTTACTATTCTAGACCAAGAGGTTAATATGAGCCTATGGTTTTGACATATGACTCACTCCTTAGAGGAAAGGGTAGCCTTTCTATGCCAAGGGATTTGTTAAAATAGTAAATATTTTACCTTGAGAATGAGTCCAAATTGTGTTTGTTTTTTCTTGGCATTTACTGCTTTAAGCACAAGTCATGTTTCTGTTTCTGTTAAGGGACTAGTGATTGAACAATATTCTTAAGAAATCTCTATGGCTTTGATGTTAGCAGTTCATAAACCAGTTTACAGCTCTGTACTCATGAGTGAATAAATGGGCTCATAGCAGGATGAGCACTTCTAATTTCTGAGGATTTGCACAATTCCTAAGTGAAGGTCTCCATGTAGCTGCAAGCCACATCATACAGACTTTTTCCCTCCTTTTTTCCTCATCTCTTCCTTCTTCCCATTTTTGTACTGGGGATTGAACTTGGGACCTGGGCAGCTAGGCCAGTACTCTATCACTGAGCTCTACCCCAGCCCAGGCAGATGTGTCTGTAAGATTTACCTTAAGTTAAATTACTTTCTTTCCTTGTCCTAGTTGTGTAAGCAACTCAGATGTAACAAGCCTTTGTGTCATTTTGTGTCTGTCACTCTTTCCATGTTCTGGACCTTGGTTCACATAAGTAGTAAAAATATTGTTGATATTGCATGTTCTTAGAATTTATGTTTTCTAAAACATTGTATTGGCTTTAGCTTAGCAAACTATTTTGGCAATTTAATTAGAAATAATGTATATATAAACTCAATCTACTTTTAAAAATTAAAATAATTAACTGCATGTATGAGGCACCTCTGCCCTGTAACCCAATTACATTAATCATCTATAGAAAGGTGACTGTTGATCCATTATTTCAAAGACTTGTGGACTAGCAAAGATTTGTTCTGATTAGAGACATGGTCTGCTATAAGTAAAGGGTTTTTTTAGCTGAAAAATTATAGCACTTATAAAAATCATTTGTAATAGTATATGAAGAAATTATTAGTATTTGAAATGCCTGTAGTCATCTGATCATAAATGAAATAGATTGCAAAGTAGACTTGGTCTTTGACCATTTCATGTGTTTTCTGAGACTGATTTTAGACAGTTTTATGTAATTGTGTACCAATGATATGTAAAATAAAAGCACCTTTTTTACTATAATTACAGGTGTTATCATTTACTTTGAACAATGAACAAAAAAATGGTGACAGTAAATCTGTAGAAATGTTGATTTTTATGTCATTTATTTGAATTAATGCAGGTAGTCTCTGAATTAAGATGGCCTGTGTCTAGAAACTTAAGTTAGCAAACTATGATCAAGAATCGTTTTCTCCAAGACTTAATGCCCATTTAATGCTTATTGTATTATAACTGAGCTAATAAGCTTAGAAGTAAAAAAGGCAAAGGGCTCCAAGAAATAGTCTAGACTTGTTTTCATCTTTTTGATCTTTTATTATTTTTTTCTTTTAAGCTTCTCCCCCTTTTTGGTTCACAGCATCCAGGTTCTGACCTGCTCCGTTGAGTTGGCTTTAGCAAAGGTCAGGTACAATGTTGCCCTTCCTAGGTCAGGGGACTTCTCACACTTCATCTTGTCACCCCTTGGGCACTTGCACATTTCCCCCCATGTCTATGCTGCCAGGTCTGTCTTTGTTCATGTGCCTCCTCCTTTCTCCACCCCACATTTCCACTCCTACCATCGTCATGCTTTACCAGCTTGGCCAACACCCTTCCTGACATACTTTACCTCCAGGGAGGGTTAACTGCTACTTTTGGGACTCCCGCTGTCTGTTGTCCTATCTTTTGTCTTCCCAGCCTAAAAATGGTGTACCCTTACTTGTTACCACTATCCTCCCTCTATGATGGGTGTTTGTGGCAGAGACTGGGTCTTTTTACCTCTTCAGTAGAACTGGCCAGTTAACTGGTAATTAAAATTTTTTTTTATTTTAATGTTTTATTTTTAGTCTTTTTGAGACAGGGTCTTCCTGTAGCCCCAGCTGACCTGGAACTCACTATGTAGACCAGGTTGGCCTGGAACTCACAGAGATTTGCCTGCCTCTGCCTCCCAAGTGCTGAGACTACAGGTGTGTGCCACCACGCCTGGTGGTAACTAAATAGTTTAATGAGTGAGGAAAATTACCACCGCTATACTTTGCCATTCTCCACTCAAATTAGGATCAAAAAGGGGTGGGGAGCGGTGCTCTTTGAAGAAGAGAGGTTTTAGCAGATTTAATAAACAGGAGGAAACAGAAACTCTTTAGCTTTGTCTTAACCTCACCCTGAAGTGGTTCCTAACTAGGGAAATACAAGGTAAATGAGGGATTTAGAACAGTGATACAGGATTTCAAGCAGAGGTCTTAATCTAAAAAGATCTTAGATTAAGATTTAAATTTTTTTGTATTTTTACTTTGTGTATGAATGTTTTGTGTATGAGTGTGCAAAGCCCATGGAGGCCAGAAGAGGGCATTGGATCTCCTAGAACTAGAGTTACGAATGGTTGTTAGCTGCCGAATGGGTGCTGGGAACTGAACTCAAGTCCTCTGAAAGAGCAGCCAGTGCTCTTAACCACTGAGCCATCTCTCCAGCCCCCATTTAATGGGATTGACAGATACAGCTAGATTGCAAGACACCAGATAATCAAAATGAACTAAAACTCTGTTACTAGTTTCTCGTGTTGTCAGTAGAAAATGATACCAATTTAGGCATAAAGAACTGCTGGGGATAGACACCAGGACTAGAGCTATACTTGATAATGTTGCTTACCACATCACTTCTAAGCTTCTTGGACAAGAGATTTGTTTTGTTTGTTTTGTTGAGACAAGGTCTCATTCTGTAGCCCATGAACTCGTGGTCCTCCTCCTGCCTCAGCCTCCTAAGTGCTGAGATTACAGGAGTGAGTACCACGCCCAGTTTAAGTGATTCTTACTCTCAGAAAAACAAGATCCTTACCCTCTTCCCTTCAAGCCTCCTAATTTATGTTTTTCTGTAACTCCAGTATATTATTTTGACCATGCCTGAAAAAATGAACTACAACGTTCTGGGAGAAGAAACAGGTTGTGTCAGCTAAATGAAGACCGTAAGTCACAGGATAGGCTCCTTGTTCCAGATGGATCACTATCTTAGTGTCAGATTGCTGTTTCTGTCCTCTGCAGAACTAAAATCCAGAGAATGTTGGCTATGGGCCCCTTGATCCCAGTAGAGGGCATCAAACTGAGAGGAGGGAACCCTCTAGTAAAATGCGTTAAAGCATCGCAGGAATCGGCAGTGCTGCAGCTCCTGCTCTCAGATCCCAAATTGTCTGACTCCTGGTTGTGGTTTAGACCCCTGGTAGCATTGTCCAGCTTAAATATGGGTAAGATTCTGGGTCTGGTAGCTGCCTAGGGAGTGTGTGTGTGTGTGGTATTGTTGTTGTTGTTGTTGTTGTTGTTGTTTTAAAGAGTTATAGCAGAACCTGGGGTTTGCTGGTGGATTAGCATACCAGGTTAGACCCAGATGGAGAGAGGACCTGAAGGCTACACTTTCTCTTCTCTGTTTGTTAGGCTGGCCATTTGCTGCTCAACTAAGTCCTAGTTATACCAGCTCCATGAACCAAGATGAGAACTTTAACTTGACTGCTTGAACTAGGAGAAACTGCATCTTAACTGTTGCAAGTCCCCAAAATTGCAGACAGGGATGACCCTGGCAGACACAATTTCAAAACTATTGCCATTTTGTGTGACTGGCAAGGACCTATTGATCAATGCGGAGAGACAGTCATGAGCTGCTGTACATCCCACATTTTGGAAATACTTAGCATGCATATGCATGATTGTAAGAATGTACCAAGTCAATAAAATTCAGCAAGGAAGTGGTTTCTTTCATCACCTGTTTCCTTATCTGTAGCCCAGGCTGACCTAGACTGGAGTCTGTAACCCAGACTAGTTTTGAACTTGCAGTCCTCCTGCCTCAGCCTCAGAGATTACTAGTGTACACCATCACTTCTGGCTTGTTATCTGCTTTATAAAAGTAATTATACCCATTTTTTAAAAAGCCAGGTATAGTGGCACACACCTTTAATCTCATATACTGGACGTAGAGGCAGGAGGATCTCTCTATAAGTTTGAGACCAGCATGGTCTATATAGTGAGTTCCAGGCTATAAAGTAAGACCCTGTCTCAGTACCCAGTGAACAAAGCAGTCAGCTAGTGTCATGGAGTAGCTGTGAGCTGACAGAGAGGAGCACTGTAGTATTGTGCACTCATTGGGTCTTGACCCTGTGGGAACCTGAGCAGCTGGTGAGGATTGTTCATACTTCCCATTATTGTTGGTTGCTTCACCCAACACAGTAGTGGTTGAAATGCCAATGTTTTTGTCTTGTTTGATGAGAGTATTGTGTAACTTAATCTTTTTTGTTGTTGTTGTTTAAAAATATTTTTTGTAAAACAGTACATACCAAAGTATATAAACTGTATGTATGGTTAAAAAATAAAATAATTAAACTGGTGTCAGCCTTCAGCTTAAGAACTAGAACATTCATAACTAGAATCGCCTCCCCCGTTGGTCCTCCCTTTCTACATACTATACACTGTAAATACTCTTCTGGGTTTTTTAAAACTAATTATCCCTATGTTTTTACTTGTAGGTCTATCATATATGTGTGTATTCCTAATAAAATGTGATTTATCTGTTTTTGAATTTGTATGTAAGAAGAATCCTGTTGTATGTATCATTCTGTGATATTTTTTCTGGTATTTTTGAGATTTACATCCATGTTTATGCACGCAACTGTATTTTGGGTTTTCATTGCTGTATAGTATTCCATGGTATGACTATTTCACAAGTCTCCTGCTTACTGAGATGTGGATTCTTTTCAGTGTTTTGCTATCGAAGACAGTGCTGCAGTAAACACTCTGCCTGACATAATGGAAGCTCTCTGTAGGCTGAGGCCATATCTGTTTTGTTCTCTACTGTACTCAGTGTTGAGAGCAATGTCCAACACAGGATAGACACTCAATAAGTATTTGAGGAATAAGTAGCTTGTTTGTACTCATGGTGGGTTTAAGTTTGCATTTCATTGATTACTAATGAAATAGTTTATTTCATATATGGGTCCTCTTTTGTGAGTGCTAATTCATATCTTTTGCCTATTCTTGTGAGGTTGTCTGTCACTGATTTGTATCCTTTCTTTGTATGTTCTGGGTACCAGTCTTAATAAGCTGTACACGTATTTTCTACCAATTTATGCATTGTCTTTCATAGTTGTATTGAATGTGTTGATGAACTTGGAGAAAACTCTCATCCTTTCAATGTGTCTTCCCAGTCAGAAGCATTGTGTATCTCTCCATTTATTAGGCATTCTTTAATGTCTTTCAATAAACAATAATTTCTCCATAAAAGCCTCTATGTCTTATATTAGCTTCCTCAATGGAGTTTTAGATTTTCAGTGCTATGACATATTGAAATTTTTAAAGTTATACTTCCTATTCTGGTTGTTGGAGATTATAGAAACATGCTTTTAGATGTAGCAACTATGCTAAAGTTTTACCAGTTCTACTAATCTATTTAGGTGCCTCTTGAGGGTGTTTTAAGTTTTTATTTTTATGTGTTTAAGTATTTTGCCTGGATGTATGTGTGCTGGTGTGTATGCAGTGCCCACAGAGGCCAGGAGAGGGCAATAAAGCTACCGTGTGGATGCTGGGAATTGAATTTGGGTCCTCTGAAAAAACCGCGAGGGCCCGTAACCACTGAGCATTTTATTTTTATGTAACTTGCCAATTATGTTTTCTCTCGGATCCTCATACCTTTAAAAATCATTCTTTGGGCCTAGAGAGATGGCTCAGTGGTTAAGAGCACTGACTGCTCTTGCAGAGGACCTATGTTCGATTCCCAGCACCCACATGGCAGCCAAAAACCATCCATAACTCCAGTTGCAGATCCGATGCCTTCTTCTGACGTGCTCAGGCATTGCTGCACGACATGGGTGCACTTACACACATGCAGGCAAATACACTTATAAACTATAAAAAAAATTGAAAAAAAATATTCTTTTATTTCAACATTGGGTAGGACCTGCAAAACAATGTTAAAAAACAAACAAAAAACAGATGGTAAGCATCCTGTTGTAAACTCAATTTAAAGAAAATGTACTTGTTTATGTGTTTGTATTTGTGTGTGTGCGTGTGTGT